CGTATTGCTTCAGAGATGTCTTGAAGACTCCTAGGGTCCTTTCACCCAGAAAACAATAATATCGTGTTTCCAAATATCATTTAACAGTTATTATTGCAGTCTTTCTAACTCACAGGGGTACATTTTGAGAGGTGCTGCATTTTCAGCCCGAATTTTGCAATCTGATAGTCTTAGAGCCGAACCACAAGTCTAACTCTCAGCTGATACCACCTTGCAGTGACCAAGTGAAGTTTCCAAATTGTCCTGAGAGCCTCGGGAGTCCCACGCTGGTGTGTGGATGGGAGTCATAAGCTGCACGTAGTTGCCATTTTCAGTTGCCCACCAGCTCCCTCCCCTGGAGGATGCTGTAGCCGCTGATTCTTTGAGCATGGTCTGCAGCCATCGAAGTTCTTCTTAGCCATCTGGTTCTTCTTAGTGGATATTTTCAAAAGTTTATTATTTTTTAAACAAAATGTCCGAAGGGTGTGGTTTTCTTCCTTTCTTCCTTTCTTCCTTTCTTCCTTTCTTCCTTTCTTCCTTTCTTCCTTTCTTCCTTTCTTCCTTTCTTCCTTTCTTCCTTCCCTGGCAAACAGCTTCATTGTTCACAGCTCAACATTTAATCTTTATAGAGAGAAATAAGTTAAATGTTCTGACCAAGCTTTTTCTTGATCTGGTTTGCAAGAAATTTGTGTTCTAGGATTTGAGACTGAAACTGAAATCTAATGTAAAATTGAAGTTTGAAAATATAAATATTTGTCCGAGGGCAGGCTGAGAAAGCAAACTTAAAATAAATAAATTAGCAATGTCTTCGGACATTGCAAACCCTAAATAAATTCTAGAGGATGTCAATAGGTTCTCTGCTCCTACTCAGCCAAGTATAAGCAAACTAATTAACAGCAGAACTATGACCATTCTATTTCTTTTGTTGTTTCTCAGATGACAGCTCATGCAATTATCTCTTGTGTTTTGAGCAAGACCAACCTTAGGTTCGAGAAGTCCATCAGTGTTTCAGACCTCCATGCTCCTCAAGGCTATCCAACCTTTCCCTTTTCACCACTCAGTGCCATGAGATCGGCATGTTTTGGTAACTTCTTTGTGCTGTCTAACCATAAATAAGCCTAGAAATTTGTTTATGCATCTTTTGTTGTTAAGTAAGCGACCTTGCAAGTACCAAAATCTGTGATAACCTGTTCCAGTTCAAAGCCCTGTCTGAAGCCTTTCAGACTTACTTCTTCTGAAGACCAAATGCTACAAAGTGCCTGAAACAGTGATAGGACCTGAATTTTAGGGTAAGAAATTGAAACAGAAGACACAGGAAGTTGTAAAGAGAGGATTTGGTGGTTATGGTTTATGAGAAATGTAAGATTAATGAAATTAGAGTTGAAAGGTGGCATGGATGGTTTTTCCAGTTGAATTTCTTTTAGAAAGCTCTGGCTTCTAAATTTTGCATGGCCCTGCATTGCCTTATTCTTTAGCTCAAAGAATGAATTATGATTTCCTCCTTTACTTCATTCATGTAATATTCAGCTTGTTTAAATGGTTCTATCTCGTTCTCTAAATCAACAAATCTCTGAACATCAGTGAACACCATTATCAGTGTTGTTTCAGCAATGCCTTTCATTAGAAATACTCTAGTGCAGAGCATCCAGATCTTGGAAATATCTCCAGAGGGATTTGAACAGAGAAAAACATAGTCCCAGTTTCCCATCAAATCAAATACTAAAAGACAGAGCAGGAATGAAATTGGCTTGAACTTAAGAATGCTTAGAAGTATAGGCAGAAACACTGAGGGGGTGCTACATATAAACTGCTACACATCACAAGAAGAAGAAAAAGGGGGAAAAGAAAATTTAATGCTACCTTGTGCTACTTCTGAATAAGCAAAAGGGTTTATCTTGTTGGCAATGAGAAAAAGTTTTGGCTTTATCCCATCTGATGAAAAGCAAGTCCACAACAGCATCAAAATACCTATCTAAGCACCATTAACATAGTGTTGGATCATCTCCATACTCAAGTGGAGATCTAAGGCCAGGTTATTCTGCCAGAAATCAAATTACCTTGCATTGTTCACACAAGATGTGATGAAGAAGTAGAGACCCCACATCTCTGCAAACAGTGAGCCATTTTCAGGGTTTCTGAAGTCACATGGCTATAGTCAGCATCTTTGAAAATCATTCATTCTTTTACAGGTTCAATGTGGATAAGGAGCCTAAACTTGGACAGATGTACCTGAGAATATTATATTCTTGTTTCTAAATATGCTCCTTTAAAACAAAGAAGGGTAAATAATTGTACTAGCAATGTATATTTCAAGGGCCAGTTCCTTCCAAGCTTCTGGAAAACTCCAAACAAACTGTCAAGTCTATGGTAAAATAAGGGCCATAGAGGTAGGTGACTGCATATCAGAGTGAGAGAGTGAAAACTTAAATCTGAGTTATAATGTGTCTTTCAGTTTTTAACTTTAACTTTCTACAGCTTTCACAACTTTTTATCTTCTATGCATTCTGTGTGTTTTATGGACAGTAGGAAATCATTTCTCCACCTTTGTCCAAGGCATGTAGTATCAATAATTGTCACACTTATTTATGTAAAATCTATAATATTTTCAAAAAATGATAGATTCTGGCAAACTAGAGCAGCAGTTTCTAGAAATATATATATATATATATATTTATATATATATGAAGGCAAGGTCAAATGATTAAAATATTGGGTTATCTACTCTAAGTCCACTGCTCTCTTCTGCTGTAGTTGTTCATTGTAGACATCTTCACTTAAAAATAATAATAAAACCAACAAAACCCAAAATACAACATACAGTCCCCTTGAAAATCAGTGTTGTTTTGCATCAACAAATCCTGGCATAGTTCTGGCCTGAAATGAGTCATTTCAATTGGTAACAAGTGCAGGGAACAAGCACAGGTTCTGTGAAAGTGCACCCCCATGTAGAAAAATGTTGCCCTTGGAGTAGCCTCCTGGCAGACAACTGTCCTGTGCTACTAGGGGTGCCATAGGGTATCTTCTTATTCTCCATGGAATGGGAAAGCAAAGCATGGTTTATGGGCTGTCATCTGCATGCTTATACAATGCTGGCTATGGGTTACAGTTCTGTGCATCTTTGAAAGGCAGTACAAAGTCCTCTCAGATATGGTCACAGTATGGAAGAGGCAGAGTTGAGAGAAGGTGTGTTAAGGTTGTTGTGATCTGTGTTGAATGAGTGTGGTACCTGTGGAGACAAAAGATGCTGTCGTATCTGGTCTGGCACACTTGAATAACTTCTCAGTGGTAAGGAATTTCAGCCAATATCCTTCCCCTCCCATCCACTCCCTCTGCTACTTCCTGAAATTTCTGTCCAAGTCCACTGATCGCTTAGTCATGCACAGGCTTTGATCAGAGAATTTCCTCTTCTATATTACATGTTCTTATATATAAGGATCATATAATTTCAGTGCAGGCAGCAGTTTCCAAATAAGAAAAAATGAATACATCATAGGCACTTCTCATTAGGGAAAAAATGAAGAAGAAGAAGAAACGCTTATTTTCATTGTAAGTGGGACAAGGAACGTAAAAGTTGAATTACAAAAAAACACATTTGCCTTGTGTTTTAAACCTGCTGTAGCTAGTATAGCCAGCACACACAGTTTGGTGTAATTGCTGCTTTCCAGCTTGGCCTAATTGATGCTCTGATTTGCAGTCACCTACCTCTGTGAGCCCATGTTTCATTACATTTTACCCTTGCTCCCGAAATCCTAAAATCCCCATGGGAAGAAATAGATTACAGCAATGCAGAGCTTTTGTGTGTGAACTGACAATTCTTTCTCCCCTATACTTCTCTTCATCCACATAGGAACAGTGAGAACACAGTAGGTTGATGAAGGGAAATATTTGTTATATACAAATGCTCCTTATTTAGGCAAACATAATTCCTTTTGAACTCAGTAGGAGTTTAAGTAAAACTCTGAATTAAAACTGCAGTGGTATAAAATCAGCTCAGAGATATTTTAATAACCTAATTGGGATGTTTATACTCCAAAATTGTGTTACTCAGTCTGTAGTCATAATTAGAAAGAAAAAGTTCTTTGCTGAAGAATGTGTCAGTATTTTCCATGGAAAATGATTTAAATAAAACCATTTTAAACATGGAAATCTCATGGTTTTAACTTTAAATAGGCATTCCAGTCATAATTTTTTTAAAAATAACAACAACAACAACAACAAAAATGCTCTAATGTCTCCTGCAGCTTTGATTTCGAACACGTCACATTCTTCATTAAAGCAATCATTGTTAAAACAGAGGGACATAAAGCAACATAGGATTTATTCCTTCATTAAACTGATGATCCGTATATGAAGCCAATTAACATTATGAGTCTGGTGAACATCAAGTGTAAAGAGGTTACAGAAAATTAAAAGCAGTCACCTTGGTCTTTAGATAAAGAAAGAACACTTTTACATTATAAATTATAAGAGTGTCCAAGCGGGACAAATCGGCAAATTTGGTTAATTGGAAAATACATTTTACTGCACATGAATTAGGGTAAAATAACCTTTTAGCTGCTAGTCTTTTTTTGTGGTCAGGTATTGAGAATCATGGGAAAGGAGGTGTTTGGACATGAAAAGACAAGAGAGCCACTTCATCAAATCTGATCCAGTCAGACTTTCTTGAGTTTTACAAATGATCCCCTCAAAGCTGAGGGCTCTCGAGGTAGATGTCAATTCAGTTATGTTACTTGTCAGTTCAGTCCAGGGTTTTACTGTCAGAGTAGAAAAATCAGAAGAGATGTGTTTGTCTGTGCAGCATGGGAACAGTCTTGCTTTAAGACAGATGAAATCAGCAAAATGTCTGTTCTGAATTGTATTGTATTTATTTTTATTACTTGGACTTTTATTGTTAACTGATACTGTCCATAAGGATGATGATGATAGTAAGTGTGAATGTGCGTGACAGACTGTAACAACTTCGTGTAGAAAGGGATTTTTTGCTGAAATAACTCAACTCTGTATGTTATTTCATGCTTCAGGTTGTTTTTAATGCTGGACTTGTTTACACAGACGAGAGGAGGAACAGGAGAAATACCATCCCATGACCCGCCGCAATTTCCTCATCATTTTCCTGGAGTCCCAACTTCGCGGGGAAACATCTATGAGAGGAGGGCACGGAGAGACGTAGGAAGAGCGGTGACAGCAGCTTTGCTTACGGGGAAAGGAGTGACCCCGCGCTTCTCCCGGCAGGACGCGGCACACAGCGCCCAGCCGAGCAACGCCGGGAGGGGTGCGGAGCTCTCCGTGGTGCTGAAACGCGCCCCTGGGTTCCGTTCGCCGGAGGACGGGCACCCAAGACTCCCAAGCTTTAACTTTTAATTATGTCAACCCCACGTCTCGCGCATTAAAATTAAACAGGCACCAAACTGGCCAGGGGTGGGAATTATATATTACTTAGTTATCTGCTTGTTTTGCAGCTGCTACTCCTTGGGAGAAAGTTGAGCCAACCGGCTCGCGGTCGTACTGCTTCTATTCAAAAAGCAGCGATTTGGAGCACTTCCCCGTGCTCCATTTCACCTTCTATGCCCCCCGCAATACGCTGAACTTGAAGGCTTCAAACTGCTGGAGAAAGCGAGCCTTGGAGCCAAAAGAGCAATGCAGACCCCTGACTAGAGTGAGGCCTTTGAGTGCCATAATGAAGTTATTATTATTTTATTAAGGGTTTTTAAGATAAAACACTTTCACTCTCTCCAACGCCAGAGAGAAGAAAGGATAAGGCACATCTGTCTCCATGCAGAGGGATCCCATGGTACTGGCCCTGTGTGGATTTTAAAATTCAGAAGCAGAGGCTGGTAGGGAAGATACAGACAGTACCTCTGGGTTATGTTTTTCTTTTTAAGGTTAATTGACCTAAAGTGTGTGTGGCTATTTTAAGGAGTGCATTCAGATTCCGAACATTCTTCTTGCACGGTGCTGTAAAAGCCAGCTCAATTCATGGTATACGTTGCTGTTCAGAGACTTGCCTGGATGGTAAGTCAATAATGTTTGCTGTCAAACAGCAATTTCCTTAAAAGCTTCTATGTATGTGTATACATATAAACATATTTATATATAAACATGCATGTCTGTAGCTTTCTAAATCTTTCACCAGTATGATAAAATTCTAGGAGAATGGATAAGATTGGATTTGTTTGGACCTCTGATTTTGCCTTGCTTTGCTAAAATAATACAATTCTAGAGCATTATTCCAGGTTGAATATACATTAGGGGAATTTCTACAGCTACGTCTAGTGTGAAAAGCAGATAGAGCAGGTGATATTTCTAAAGCTTATTAGTATTTATTTAATGAGATCGCATATTCAGAATAACTTTCCAAAGACATTTTCTCTTTAAAATCTATTTCTATTTCTGCACCTGTATCATCTGTATCTTCTTTGCTCCGGTATGAACGTGCTACATCTTTAAACTCCCATCAGATCTAAAAGAGCCTGTGTAGATTTGCTCGCCCTTCCTGTACAGAACATTACAATGTTTATGAAATATTAAATTTGTGTAGTCTGCCGGAGAAGCAATTGTTCCAAAATAAAATCAGCAGTCTAGACGAAACATAGACACCAGAACTTATCAACAGTTGTCTGACTTACATCTTCTGATGCATCTTGAGTGGGTCATAATACCAACTTTATTTTCAGTGGTGCATAAATTAATTACACGCATTTAATAACCAAAATATCATTATATTCCCCCTTTAATATCATAAAGGCTTTACGCCAGGGAAGCACTTAATGTGCAGGGGGCCATAACAGGCTATTATCCTTGTGTAATGCTATTACAGAACCAATTATGTGCCATTATACTTGCTTTTTTTGCAGTTTATGTGATTTGATCCAATCCCGCGTCCCTGACTTGAAAATTTCATCTGGGTACTTTAAAGTCTAATTTTCACCCGGGCTGAGGCAAGGGCCATCTCTCTCCGCTGAGCCTATGTCTCGGATGCATTTTAAAAGTAATTGCAAAGGGTCCCGACGCATATCATTTGCAGACGGGAAGCGAGCATAAATCCAGAGACCCCTCGCTGTGAACAAAATCAAACTTTGCTGCGGTACGATCGCTTGGAAAGGCGAGGCGTGTGCAGAGCGACCCCCCAAAACCCAGTCGACGGCAATTAGCAACCGCTTTGTCAGCGGGTCCGGGCGGCGGAAACGGCTCGGCACGGCTCGGCAAGGTTCGTCACGGCTCGGTACAGCACGGCTCGGAGGGCCCCCCGGCCCCGCAGACTGGAGCACCCCGAGGTTCGCGAGCCGTCGCCGGGGGCCGCCGAGCCTCGGAGCGCGAACGCTCGGAAAAATAATGGGATTTTGTTGTTGCCGCTCACATTCCTGATGTTTGCTGAGAAATGATGTTTTGTTTTTTTTTTTTTCTTTTCATCATCATCTTTTTTTTTTTTTCTTTTTCTTTTTTTTTTTTTCCTTTTTCCCTCCTCTACATACCACGTGGGCCATTTGTAGGGCCCAATAGACCTATCCAAGTTACTCACTGTAGACAGCGCTGGAAATAATCAGATTAAGGCCAATTATGCGTGAGATTATAAAGGCAAGTGCTGAGAGGCAGAGCATGCTGTAGACAGATATAAAGACATCTGGCCACTTCCAGAACTCCACAGAGCCCTTCTGTCTCTGCAGCCAACAACTCACAGCGCCTTATTCCAGTGCAAAATACCCCAAACCTTACTGGTGATTTTTACTTCAGTTCGGTTTAGGTATGGATTACTATTTTTATTTGCCTTCTGGATTTTTTTATATGACTGCATGTAAATTTGAACTTTTTTTTTCTTGCTGAGGACATTGGTTTCCAACCCGATCACAGCTCCCAGTGTGTATTTGGATGCTTTAGAAAGAAGACAGCCTTTAGGTTTTATTGCTGTTTCATTTAGGTAAAATAGTTCCGTTTGATTTGTCTGTTAAATAGCTCATTCTTAGCTCTAAGTAAGTGTTTTTCATTATATTATTATTTACTCCTGGAGGAAATCTTTGAAGTAATTCGATGTACTGATAGAAAGATGAATAAATAGGTGGGTAGACAGATGCATAGATGGATGGATGGATAGATGGATAGATAGATGGAAGAGATAATCAGATGGATTGATGGATGCATGGGTAGATACATAGATAGCAGAACGAAAGGTAGATAGTCAGCTATTTGAAGAAAAAGGGAAACAAAGAAAGGGGGGGAAAAAAAAAAAAAAAAGAAGCAACAAACTTTTGCTGGTTCTGATTACTGTGCACCTACCATGGAGTGTTCTGCCTTTGCCATTCCAGCTCGCTGCAAGCAGCGTTAGATAGGACTTTCTCTGCCTCCTTTGGGCTGGCTCTGGGCTCACCAGGGAGTTTCTGGGTGTTTTCTTCTGGCTGTTCACCTGCTTTGCTCTTTCCCTCTCTGTCCCCAGGTCGGCAGCAGAGCCCTCGGCGGTGCCCGGCGGGGGACGCGGTGCCGACGCGGGGGGCAGCGGGCGGCGGCCCGGCCGCGGGGCCATGTTCTATTTCCACTGCCCCCCGCAACTCGAGGGTGAGTGGGGCCGTGTGGGGCCGGGGCTGAGGGTTCGTGTGTGCTGAGGTGGAGGGGGTGCTGAGCTCTAGCTGTCCTCGCACAGGGAGCGTGCCGAGATGAGATGCGGATCTATAGAAACAGCCCCATCTGAAAGCGCCTCGTCTTTTTCCAAACACAACCCTGTGCCCTCCTCCCTCTTGTCACAAGATGGAAAGAAGGATGGCATGGGTTTGGGTTTTTTTAATTTGATTCCTGTTGGAAAGGCCTTGTTTTTACACTACCCCCCCCGCCCCCCCCCTCCGCCCTCGTTTTGCCACCTGCCTCCCCTCCACGGATAGCGATCCCGCAGTTGAGCCTCAGGCTACGAACGAGATGCTTTTCTCCCCTCCCTGCACAGATGTTGGTGTCATGGCTGTAATCGGGACACTTTCAGGACGTGGTCACGCCTCCTCCCTCCAGCCAAAGGGACCGCATAAATCTTTCATGTTATTTTACAAACATTCTGGGGGAGGATGGGGAAACACGGGGCACGGCTGGGAAAAAATAATCAAACACACACACACACACACACAAAAAAGAAAAAAAAAAAAAAAAAAGAGAGAGAGAAAAAAAAAAAAAAACATTTGAGAGGGTTCTCTTTTTGAGCGCTTCATTTGAGAGGACGTTTTTGACCGGGTGGGTTGTTTAATTTTTCGTTCGTTTCTTTAAAAAAAAAAAAAAAAAAAGGCAACCTTCGGGATCTCCCCGTGTCGCCCCCCGCATATACCCTCGGCCTCGGCCCCCAAGGCTCCCTGCCCCGCTCCTTGTCCCAGTGCAGCGCTGCAGGAGCCAGCCCGGAGCGGGCGGGACCCCCCCGGGTAGGCACGGAGGACGCCTGCAAAGTTGTCTCGAGCCGTGCCGAGCATTCACCGAGCGCCTGGGTAGCTTTGTTCGTTAGTTTTTGGCAGAGAGCTTTGGAAACACGCTTTTGTCTGTTTGGCGGGGGGAAACTGGGGGGGTTGTTGTTGTTGTTTGTAACCGGTGCGTGCTTTTTGGCGGCCTGAGCTGGGGAGCGGCCACCGAGGGCAGCGGGCGGCAGAAGCGGGGGGGGGGCGGCTTCCCCGTGCGGGGTGACAGGGCATCCCAAGTGACAGTAGCAACACCGCTTCCTCACACCCCCAAAACCAAACTAACCCAAGAAGCAGCAACAGAAAAGTCCTTTCTGGGGCTGCCTTATCAAACGCCCGGAGGGAAGCGACCAGGCTCCGGGGTCACCGGCATTTGTTTCTGCGAGGAGCACTGCCCAGGGTTGCTGCGAGGAGGGGGAGAGGGCCGTTCCCCAGCGGTGCCGCGAGCTGAGCGCTGTGCCCAGTCCCGATGGCCCGAGCGGGAGAGGGGCCGTAGGACACCGCTGGGGCCTCTGTGAGTTGGGTCCTGGAGACCCTCAGTAACGCTGTTGCGGGCCTGAGGACCTGGGGCTAGAGGACTTGTAGGGGTTTGTTTGTTCGTTTCGTTCTATTTTACTTTACGTTGTCTGGGAAGAGAAGGGGAGCTATGTTTGAGCGGGGCACCCCAGCGGGCTGCCTGCCCTATACAGGCCTTCCCCCAGGAACAAACTCGTGCTCCGTCAACCTCCCGGTCCCCTTTAAGCCCCCGGCCGGGAGGGTTCACCCCTCCTCACACACACCTTCCGTTGTTTTGAAACCCATCCGTCCCGAAATCTAGCCTTTCCACGAGGCAGGCTGCCCCTCACTCCTGGGGTAGGTGTGCTGGGGCCGGCAGGCTGGGATCGCCCCCCCCGTCCGCCCCGCGACCCCACCGCAGCTCTCCTCCCGCAGGCGCTGCCCCCTTCGGAGCACACTCCGCCGGCGACTTCGACGACGGGTTCCTGCGCAGGAAGCAGCGTCGCAACCGCACCACCTTCACCCTGCAGCAGGTAGGAGAGCGATCCCCTACCCTCCCCAGCCTCGCTTTCCCCGGTTCTGTGCCGAACCCCCTCTGCCCCGACGGGCAGGAGATCCCCTCGCCTCCAGCGCTGCCCTTGACACCTCTGCTCTCCTCCTCTCCACCAGCTCGAAGCACTGGAAGCAGTTTTTGCACAAACCCACTACCCCGATGTGTTCACTCGGGAAGAACTGGCGATGAAAATCAACCTGACGGAGGCCCGGGTGCAGGTAAACATCCAGGGGATGATTGAACTCTCGGGGATTCAAACCAGCGAACTTTTTTTTTTTTTTTTTTTTTTTTGACATCATGACTGCAGAGTGCACATTTGGCCAAAGAACGCAAATGAAGACGATCTGTCATTTTCATGATGCACTTTAATAACATCAACATAATGTGGAATATTAGATTAGGTTGATTAATCGGTCATTCATAATTAACTAGTGATAATGTTCTACACTAATTTGTCCGCGTCTCCAAGGTACTAAATTACATCAATGCACATCCATTTCCTTGCTTTTGGAGGGGGTGTGCATGGAGAAAAGAGCTGAGATGTGGTTCTGGCGGCCACTCGGACCACTGGCAGGCCACAGGCTGGGGCAGCTGGGGGAGTCCCGCAGCCACCAGGAGCTTTTCCACCTCCTCAACTTTTCTCCCTTCCCTCTACTTTCGAAACACTTAATTCTGATGGCTATAGAGCCTGTAGAGCAATTCCCATGCTTTTCATAAGATCCAATGAATGCCACTGGCCATGATCACTCTTTTTCCTCCTTTCTCTTTTCCACACTTTCCTCCTTTCCTTCCTTCTTTTTTTTTTCCTTCCCTTCCCCCCCCTTCTCGCCCCCCCCCCCTTTTTTTTTTCTTTTCCTTCTTTTTTTTTCTCTTTTCTTTTTCTGGCCCACATGTTTGGGGTTTTTTTGCATACTCAGAGATTGACTTTGTCTAAGTGTCTACAAGCTCTACTAAGATCAGAACTCCTGCAGTTGTAAGAGATGGATCCATACAACTTTGCAGGCATCCACGCTGACTTGCAAGTCATTTTTTGAACCCAATTACGTATTCATTTTATTTATGGGGCTTTTCTGCATACTGTTTCTGTTTCTGTTTTGTTTTTTTTTTTTTTCTTTTTTTTTCTTTTTTTTTCTTTTTCTTTTTTTTCTTTTTTAGGTGCTCGGGGTTAAGACTATGCAAAGATCTAATTGTAGGAAATATAATAGCTTGCCTTTTGTTCCCTAGGGTCATGTTAGTATCTCTTAAAACCCAATGGCTGAAGAGAGATAATGGAATTCACCGCAGTAAATTGGGGATTGTAAACAAATTATTTCTTCTATAATCAGATTATGCGATCCTGATTATTAAATCTGAACATGAATCATTGGTCATATGCGGGCAAATTAAACTGATTATTATTTGGAAATGAAAATCTCCTTTTGCCAGTGCATTGTAGGTACTGGCTTAAAAAAAATAATAAAAAATGCCATTTTGGCTATTGGTGTCTAAAGACTGAACTGCAAATTGAGATAAATGGGACAATTATTGAGCATTCAGAAGTGGAAGATCATAACTTCTTCCTGAAAGGTGCAAGGGTGAGATAGGGGTGGTGACAATTGGATTGCTGAGGACGGGTGTTTAGCCTTGTTGTTGGCTATTATGCAAACAGACAATAGATGCAAGCATTTGTTTAGCCTGCTTTCATGCGGGGACATGGGGAAACACAGAGGATGGGAGATATGTTTACATTTATACCCCTTGCTCATTCAAATATGATTAATGTGCTATAAAGCAGAGTCTTAATCGAAGATGATGTTGTCAAACAATAACTAAATAGGGAAATAAACGACTTCATCATGCTCTTTCCTCAGAAGCAGGCGAACTGTCAGTGCAAAGTCATTAAAATATGATAATGAAAAATAGCTCAATTAAATGTTGTTATAGCTGTGACCTTCATTCAATTAAGACGCAAGGAAGTGTCTGCATTTTGCTTTGCATTTAACTGCTCTAAATTTAGAATATAGATAAAATCATTATTCAACGTTTGCTGATATATGCAATTAAAAGGCAGCTAACTAAAATGGAGTTGGAGGAGGAGAATAATAACAATCTTGCCTATACTTGAAGTCATGTATTAAAATGTGGATTCCTTGACCTCGAGGGAGGTTTGGCATTTTCCACCTCAAATATGGTGCTTTCAGAGCATCTGCTCCAAGGTAACAAAAAAATCCTCAAAACTTTTGGACTTGTTTTTGGCTTGTTTTCCATATGGATAAATATTCAAGAGAGAAATGTAATATTAAGACTCATGTAGGATAACAACATGGACACAAATAAGGAGAGATTTTATCCAAAATCCAATCTCACCAGAGAAAATTTGGCAAATGTTGACTTGCTTTACATTTGGCTAAATGTGGCATTCAACCTGGCTTGATCTCCTGCTCCAGGTGTGGTTCCAGAATAGAAGAGCTAAATGGAGGAAAACAGAGAGGGGGGCTTCTGACCAAGAAGGCTCTAAGGAAGCAATGGCTGAGGTGGCACCTCCTGTCAGAAACTTAAATTCCCCTTCTCCAGCTGATCAAACCAGGAATAAAAAAGAGAGTCTGGAGATCCAGCAGAGGTAAGAATAATCAGCTGCTGCTCTTTGGGACAAGCATGCATTGTGTTTATGTACATACATGCATTGCTAGATGCTAAGCCTGCACCTGGTTAGTATCAATTTCAAGTACAACCTAAACCATTAGAAGATGGACCACCATCAATTCCCTTCTGCCCATGTGGGTGTGAGGAACTGGTGGCTGTGGGAGGCTGATGTTACCCAGGCTTAGTCCCCTCCACTTGGTTCTCAAGACAGCAGTACAGAATTATAGAATCACAGAATATCCTGAACTGGAAGGGATCCATAACGACCATGGAGTCCAATTCCTAACTCCACACCAAGCTCCCCAAAAATCAGACCATACGTCTAAGAATGTTGCCTGGACACTTCTCAATTCCATCAAGCTCAGTGCCTTGACCACTGCCCTGGGGAGCCTGTTGGTGTGCACACATGTGCACTGTTTTTGGAGTCAGCTGCTCTAGTTCTAAAGGCTGCTTTCTTCTCTCCCTCAGCCTGAGTCGAGCAGTCGGTCCTACAGGACCCTTCTTCCCCTCCTGCCTGCCTGGGACTCTTCTCAACACAGCCACCTATGCACAAGCTTTATCCCACGTTGCATCTCTAAAAGGTAAGTGACTTTAACTTTGGATAGCAGCTTAAAGAGCAGCTTCATCATGTTTGGTGGATGCTCCCACCTTTGCCAGTGAAAAGCCGTTGGGATGTGGTAGATCCTTTCGGTTGCAATTGGTGGTAGTTGAATTGACTGATGCCATGGGCACAAGAATGGGTCTCTTCTGGTAGCGTGGTTTGCAGATAAGCTCTATCATTTTGCTCAGTTATCTTTACATAGGTCAGGGTTTGCCACCAGGCAGGTATGGTTTGGTCCTTTAAAGTTCTCTTTGCATGTGTTCCTTTTTAAAGAGTCAAATTTATGCTAATAAATTAATTATACACATCCTTCTGTATTATACATTGCCTGGCACCATTACTGATATTTCATCTCCTCTTCGCATGCAGTTTCCTATGCAGTATTTCTCTGCAACACTTAGACCTTTCCCCTCTTGACCAGCACATCTTCCTGAAAACTTGAACACAGTGAGTGCATGGGAACAGGGCACTATGCAAAGTAATTCTGCATTATGTGGGATCTAGGCTTCAGGATGCTTGTATCCAGTGTCCATATCCCCTTGGGCTGCAAAAAGCAGCAGTATGCATCTTTTAAAAATAAATCGCCAGCTGATCCATTAGCTGTTCCTAGTCTAGTAATTTCTAAGACTAAGGGTGCAAGCAGGATGAATTCAATTTATAGATTTATAGGATGTACAGTCTCATAGCACTGCCAAGCACAAAGTGGCATGTAGCTTTGCTCTATGCTCAGTGTGGTGCAATGTTTTTTGAGGAAAATTTCCCTGTTGAGGACCTTCTGCTATGAAAATTGAAGTCCTCTACAGTCTCTCGCTAGGCTCCCTGGCATACCTCATGTTCTTCTTGAGTATTTCCACTTGAATCAGTGCAGTTGAGGTTTATCCCTGAAGCAAAAGCTTTAAATTGCAGAGCTTTGCATTAAGGCCAATGTCCTGTTCTCTCTTCCCTCTTTCTCCAAGTCTTTCCAAAAAGAGCAGAAAGCACAGCAAGTGCCATTTTGGCAGGTGATTTTGAATCAAGAAAGGCCACAGAGGTGTGACCTAAGCCCTAGAGCTGAAAAGATGAAAGTCAACCCAAATGCTGTGGCAGACAGTGGCTGTTGGACTGTGCAGTCCCCTCCATCTCTGCTTGTGACCATGAGCATCTATGCTGGGCAGGAACAGCCTCTCTGGAGTGGATACAAGCAATCTTAGGGGGGCAAAAAATTATTTGCTGACAATGTCACTGTGGGCGTGAAAATAGGATTGATTGTGTTCAGTAAATAATTTCAGGTGGAAGTGGCTTCGTTTTTTCCTTAAAATTTACAGTTAAGTATTTTTTGAAATCAAATGCATCAATGCTTCCTCATATTTCGTGCTTAAATTTAGCTAAATTTTAAGGAAAATAATAGCAATAAATGGAGGCTCAACAAAATGAAATAAAAATGGACAAATGAAACATTTGTTATGAGGGTTTTTAAAGTTTTATTTATTTGGAAGACTTATGGATCTTCTTCTCTGTGATTTTACAAACTAGTCACTAAATTGAAAAACTAATAATCTGCTCCTTTTTGCTTGATAGCAGTTTTACAACCTAGGGGAGGAAAAATCCTACTCCTGAATCTCAGGCAGATATAATCATTAGGCAGTCAGTTGCCCAGGCTAACAGACAGTGCCCCGGAAACACCATTCCCAGATGAAAATACAGATTTTTTGTTATTTGGACAGAGATGGGCAGCTATCTTGTGCACGTATGATGAATTTCTCAGCTACACCTTCAGTTCCTTGCTGAGATGCTTTGGTTTACATATCCTGCATGACTCTAGAAGTCTCTAGATATGTGCAAGGAGTTGGGTATATTGTAGTGTATTGTGATTTTAAGAAATCCAGCTGCAGATCCTACTGTGAGCTCTGTGTATGCCTGTTGACATGTTGTCATGCTTGCTAGGTTGAGCTGCTCCCGTCTTCTGCAGTTAAGTCTCAGTGATATCAAATGTTGGCTTTGGTGTTGAGACGGAAGGATTTGACTGTAAGGTGGCGAGTTTGATTTATATGAGCAGAGAATATATGTAGCATCTTTCTTGTGGTATTTACACGTGAAATTATGTCTTCTCTTTCATTGTCTCACCACTGTAAGCTCCCTTTCCCTGTTTCTCCAGGAGCAATTCACCTGGACTGGAATTGGGTCTGTTCACAGCAGACCTGTGCTTCCTCTGGTTAATTGGCAGTCAGAAGCAGGACCATCTCTAAAGGTCCAGTGCAGACCAAAAGGATCTCAGGCACAATTCATATTCTGTTTTACTCTGGTACAGAAACGCAAGTGAATGATGGACCTTTTAAACTAAAGTGATTGGGAGCACAACTGAGCTACACGCAGGTCTGGGAGAAGAGGGTCTCCCAGAAGAGGGTGTAGTAGTGAGAAGGAAGGAAAAGGCAGTGAGATGTTCACAAAGCCTTTACATGGCCTCTTTTGTCTTGCTCAGTTCAGAGAGTTTCACTCTCCTTCTCACTTCCCTCTTTGAGGTAGGAGCTGGTTTGTACAACTTCAGGTCTGTTGAGGGAGCGCTGACCCTACGTTTAGGTGGAAATTACTCAGTGTTCTTCTATACCTTAATGAAGTCTCCTAAGCATCTCTCTTGAGAATGCAGTCTCATTTTGCAACAGAAATACTGACTGAGCTCCACCATGATGATTCTGAGAGCAGAGAACTTTGAGCAACGCAAAATCCCATTAAATTGTACACAGGGCATAAAATTCCAATATTTTGATTTTTTTTTTCCACAAGATTTTGCACATTTTATTGGAAAACCACGTGGCTAAGAACTCTTCCTGGCACCTATCTTCGTCCTGACCACATTTTGAAACTACCAGGAATTCTTTGTGCTTTTGAAACCAAAATAATTCCGCCAAAGCCAAAGCCATTTCACTAGCAGTGGATGCATAGCCCAGCTGTCTTCTATGCAAATTTCAAAGGAAATACTGATAAAGAGGTCCTCTATGTGAATCCTGTAAATAGATATGTATTCTCTCAACTGGGAAAACAATTCTGACATTCTCCAGTAAGACTGTAAAGCGGACAAAAGGGCGCTCTGAGCACATCAGACACCACTGGGATGTTTAGGCTGTTTCCTTCTGAGAAGGCAAGATACGTTTTGTCAGGCTTGTGAGCCAACACTTTGTTGGTGTCAGTGAGTAATATTTGACTGATGCTTTAGAAGGAGGTAACTAAAATCAATATAGTGAATAACAAGTGATGATGATGATGTAACTAACTAACAATTATTTTATCTCTCTGGGACCATTTTCATTCTGCCACCTGAGAGTTCACTGTCTTTTATAAAGAAACTAATACCTCTCTTTCTCCTTCTCTGACTTTGATGGTTTGGCTTCAGCCCCAGATTTCCAAGGCTGCATAAAGTATCTAGGGTACATGCTATCTGTATCTAATTCATAATGTAAGGATACAGCAAGCAAAGTTTCCCAGATGAAGTCTATCTAGCAAAGACAAGAAATCTCAGGACAGCCTAGCACAGGGCAGCAGCTTTGCTTTTGGACAGGTGCTCAGTAGGCTCGCTTTACACTCTGTGTAGTTCTGCAGCCCTTCAGTGAGCAGCACTCCTCTGAGTCCTGCACATGCTGCTTCTGGGTAGCTGGTGGATATGGCTGGAAAATGAGTCTGGGTCTGCTCTGGAAACTGAGCAGAAAACTGTTGTCCCTGTGCAATTTCTCATTTGAATAATTAGCATAATATCACAATGTTGGTGGATTACTGTGTTTTCTACGTCAGGGTTTTAGTTCTTCACTGCTGTTCATAGTGAGGAAGAAGTGTAGCTCACACAGACAAAATTTTGGTTGTTTGTTACTTTCTGAAAATGTCCTAATTTGACAACTATGCTACTTCATTGTGGCAACTTTGACATTTCCATGGTCTTCCAAGATGAATCACTTACTGTAAACTATGCATCTGCAGTCCATTTAGTAGATTTAATTGCAGACCTCAAATATGAAGGGAAAATACTTGTTTTATTTATGGGCTGTATAACAGTAGAGTCATCAGGAGAAGCTAGCATTCTGTGCACAGAGAGACCTCAAAGTACCTTCTTAATGGATGACAGCATGAATGCAATTCATTAATGCAGAAGATGTTATTAATGGGTGTAAACAAGAATCTCCGGTTTTTAGCGGAAGTGTTCTACCATTTCTGGTGACTGAGGCCAAAAGTGTATCTGTTACATTCCGCTGAAATTTCACCAGACCCTGTGATTCAAAGTGCAGTGTATGAGGAGAGAAATAATTACACTTGTCAGGGAATTACTTTCATAATTCACTCCCAGCTTTGCACTGTGCAAGTTATAGCTCAGTTGGTTTTTATGGCACCTCCACACCACCCGCTGATAGAAAAGCAAGACTGCATTATGCCCACCAAAGTGGATATTCCAGGGGATTACGTTCCTTCATGGTTTGTTGCTGCCACGGTTGCTGTTGTTCCTATTAGGGGAGGCTTAATTGCAGTATCCAGGAAAAAAAATCATACCAACAAAGAAGCCCCAGTTAGAGCTGTTCATCCATTACATTTTGATTTCTATTATGAAAAGAAGAAGAGAATTTGCCCAACATCATTATGCTATGTAAGCTCAGAAAAAAAGTGTTCGAGGTCCTGACTTACCCCTGAAGTGGTGCTTACTGAATTGAAGTGCTTCTATTTACCTTGAGACTGAGGAACTGGAATCAGAACTCGGGAATTCCTCTGTTTTCTCTGTCATTCATATGTACTCAGTTATAGACATACTGACTTTTCTCAGCATGTGACTATGGCAAATCACGTAAAATAGCAAATTAGCAAGTGAATTCTGCTTAACAAATGCATTTCCCACCAGAGCACAACTTCAACAGGCTACTCTAAATAACACTGTAAATATCTGGTGTCTCCCCATTTCAGCATTTGAGTCCATACCTCTCATATTCTTCTGAATCTCTTGTTTCACAGCTCTAAAAGGTTTTTAGAGCTATGTTTTACCCACTTATTCCTCAGTCTTTAATAGACATAGTTTTGCAACATATATGAAGAATAAAAGGGAGCTTCCTTTGGAATCAGCTCTCACTGGTAAATGGCACTATGAATTCAAGGTTGTTTTTGATCTTCCAACCAAATTAACCTGACTACACAAAAAGTATATTTGAAATGAATGTAATATTTTCACTGCAAATTAAACAGAATGCATTGATAGGTGATGATTTAAAAGCGAATTTTTCCTCACTTTCTTCCCTCTATTTAGCTTACTGTTCAGCTGTTCACATCAAACGTGGACATGCACAAATACTGCAAGAGGCAGTGAACTGAGTTTTTGCATTTTGAAAGGACTGCCTGTTAAATCCTTTAAACTGTTGGGTTGAAATAGAAAATGTATATTTTAAATACTCCTGTATCAATATGAGCCCCACTCCCATCACACTCTAAGCTGAAACTGAACCTGGGAATTGCACAGAAAGGTCCACAACCAAAATTGTAGATCAAATATCATTACAATTGAAATGTAATGTTGGCAGAGACAAGACAGAACTAATTTAATTTTTCCTGTCAGTCTCTGTAGTAGATCAATTAAACTGCCAAGTGGATCAAATATTTCAGACTGTATTTATGACATTAAGTATTTATGTTCAGGCTGAGCATTTAAAGTATGATCTCATATACGTGGAGGTTCAGATCAATTCAGCAGAATTTGCTCTAAGTTAATGGAAATCTAATTGTGCATTTTAATTTTGTGTACAAGAGGCAGTAAGTTCCTAAAGGAAAGAAAACAGTTCTCCGTCTATATTGTAGTAACCAGCTCCAAATCCCATTAAAGTGATATCAAACTGCAAGAGATGTTAGAAAAACCTGGATCAGGTTCTAAGGCTAAAGGTCTAACCCTCACTCATTTTGATGGGAGTTAGATAGGTGCCTAAACTCCTCTGAAGATGTTAAGTAGGAACAATCCCTTCTTCCCCCACTGTAAGCTCAGGTCTACTCCAATAAGATATAAGAGAATAGCGACGTCTGCTATGTGTGGATGTGTCTTTCTTGGGTCATGGGCTGACTGAGTGGACTGCTGATTCGCATATTGTTTGTCCTGGCCTTTATGCCAGCGAAGTCCAATGGATTTCATTGGATTTGCTGCCTGCAGACACTGGCAACTGCAGGGTAAATTCAATCTTCCTTTTACAATAAATAGAAATAGGGCTAAGTCCTATTCTCCTATTCTCTAGCAAGATTGTGGAGCAAATGACACTAGATACTCTGTATTTTTTTTCAGGTGGGAGCTGTTGTTTGCAAGTGTTTTAACCTGGAATTTTTAAGTGAAAATGCAAGGAGTGATTTATGGGTGAAATACTGCTAGATATCCTAGTTCCCACTGCAGGTAACTCTGCACCCTCAGGTTGCAGAGCCATGGGTAATATCAGCTCTAATTATTAAGCAAAGAGCTTAGGTTGGTACTGAAGGCTGTTAAATATTTTATCCTTCTCTAACGATGGAACGAAAATTATTCTTAGGAGCTGGAGCTGGTTTATGTTCTTTTGAAAGGGACTCTTCTCCACTTCTCCCCTCCGGCTTGGCAGCGTGTTCATTTCTGGTAGAACATCTTAGTGTGTGAGAGAGCAGCAGTGCGAATACAGCCGATGCACAGAGAGATTTACATGCTCTATTTTGGAAACCAACCTTTAGTTAGTGGGACTTACTAGCAGTGGAAAAAAAAAAAAAACTTTCCACAGCTGAAAGACCTGCAGACTGCAGGGATTCTAAGTCACCAGTCCTCCTCTCCTCCCTCTTATGAAAGAAATTCAGAACGCCTGAAGTGGCTGCATTTCATCAGGGCAAAACATGAGCACAGTTAGTGGTGGCAAAAAATGTGTTACTGAGTGGATTTTGCTATAAACTTCTGTTGTGTTCAAAATGATCACAAAATTAAAGCTAGATTTTCCTAGTGCAAAAAGCAAAAATGGAGGATATTTGTCAAGTAGTAATATACACTTGTGTAATTCATTTGAATGTCTGAACTCATGAAAATATTGTTCTGCTGATCAGATGCTCTATCAGGGAGTATAATGAGAGTAAAAGGGATTACACTAAAAGGGATTTCATTAATAATTTGTGCCCTGTAGAATCTTTTTTACTTCTTTTCTTGAGAACCTTACCTGCAAGCTGCTACTTTCTGATAGTTGTTGTGGAGAAGTCTTGCCAACATCCTAAAAACAAACAACTGTCTGCCTTCATCCCTCACAAATGGGTGCTGACCCTTGGCTACCAAGAGCAGCAGTGGAAGAGAAAAACTACCTGCTCCCTGCAGATTATTAGTTCCATCAGTTAGTCATGAGCCATTTAACTCAAATATTAACTGCAGAAATTAAAGCAAGTCCTTGGCTTGGAAAGATCAGAGGAAGACACTGTCAGGTTGTGAGCAGCCCAGCTGTTGCCTGCTTTGTGTATCAGCTGAAGATGTGCTTCTGCCAGGGGCTGAAGAGCATATGGAGTTTGTGTGGCCACTGAGAACCCTGGGGAGAACGGTGTCCCACAGTGTCTCTCACTAGAGAGAAAATCAAAGTGGCAGCTCAGCTATTTCACTCCTTCTCCAGTACTATATGTCCTGCTTGACACAGCCTGTGTTTCTCAGATTGTTGGAGTGAAGGTAGTCTGGCCCACCCCTCCTGATGGGACTCTAAGCAATCTCAACAGCAGCAACTTTAGGAGGCTTTGGTTCACTTCTGGAGACCCTTCTTTTTGAGTCATCATACCTAAGTAACACAGATGTTGTCTCTTGAAGGCAGAACAGACTCATGCAAACAGACTTGATGCTTGTAGTTGGGGTGTGGACAAGAAAAATCCTTTCTCATCTTATTGTGCTATAGGAGAAGGTCATTAATTCCTGCATAATTGCTAAGATATTTTCAGCTTTTTATCTCTGCAGTAATCTTCCAGATGCAAGGGTGGGAGCCCCACACTCACCCAACAAATGCTGCTGCCCAGACTGATCGGACTTTTTGTGGGCAGAGGGCAGGGGAACCTCCAGCATGGGACTGAGGGTAGGCATGGAGCAGTAACTTGGGATAGGAATTGGAGACAAGTTCCACCTTGTTGTGGGGAAATCTGCATGGTCTAAGCTTTGCTGCTCACTTCTGACTCTGCTTGCCCTCAATTTCCCAATCTGTCACCTGCTTGTCTTGCAATATATGAACTCTCTATAGCTACCTGAAAGGAGACTGTAGTAAGAGGGGGATTGGCCTCTTATTCCAGGTAACTAGTGATGGGACAAGAGTCAGTGGTCTTAAGTGACACCAGGGGAGGTTTGGGTTGGGTAGTAGTCTTTCTCAGGAAGAGTGGTGATGCATTGGAACAGGCTGTCCAGGGAAGTGGTGGTATCACTGTCCTTGGAGGCATTCAAGAAAAGGGCAGATGTTGCCCTGAGTGGCATGGTCTAGAGTGGTCACAGACCTGGGCTGACGGCTGGACTGGGTTATATTATTGGCCTTTCCAACTTTAACAATTCTACAATTCTATGATTCTTTCCCTGTGGGTCTCAGCAGAGCAGAATCTAGTTTTCTAGAAATAATCTACATCCTGAAAGCATCTACATACCTACTAAAAGTCAACTGAAGAAGGGACTTATGCCACCTGAGATTCCAACTGCATCCCCGCCTTCTCCAGGTTGACTGTTGAGGGAAACATATTGTGCATGGTGTGGCATTTGTAGGCGTGTGTCATTCTGACCAGGTCAGAGGACCATTCCCACAAGGATACCCTGCCGTTGGGAGCATACCTTCCCCAGCAGTGATGCTGCCTTGTCTTCTTCCTTCCCAGGGAGCCCACTGTGCTCATGCTGCGTTCCAGACCCCATGGGCCTCTCCTTCCTGCCCACCTACGGCTGCCAAAGCAACCGCACCGCCAGCGTGGCTGCACTGCGCATGAAAGCCAGAGAGCACTCAGAGGCCGTGCTGCAGTCTGCTAACCTCCTGCCCACCGGCAGCCCCACTCCTCCTGCCAAACCCAGCCCAGAGAGCAGCCAGGACAAGCAGCCCTCTCCACCCAAGGAGCACGTGGAAGGGGAGAAGAGTGTATGAGGCCAGACTGGTGCTGGCCCCACAGCCTTGGAGCCAAGGTCAGACACTGGAGCTTTGCCATCGATGGAACTGCAGAATGGCTGTGCCTCAGTAGCACATCACAGGGCCACCAGGGACCCGGCAAGTCTGAGTGGCCACTCTGGCTGCCTTTCACACACCCTTGCTTCTTTTGCACCGCTGTAGGTTCATTCTCCAGATTTATTGGCACTATCCGTATTTGGAAACATTTGTGAAACTGTTTTTAGCTCCCCTTCCACATCCCAGAGATGCCAAAATGCCCAGGACACTGACTTGCTTCTGCAAACCTCAGCCATGCTTCCCAAGGCTGCATTACTCAGCAGCAGGGCCAACCCCAGCTGACTTTGGGACTTAAACCACCTCTACCCGGTTCTGACCTTCCCAAGAATAAGAATCACCATGTGGGGAGCAGGGCTGCTCCCTGGGGATCACCACCACCAATAGTCCTTTATCCTGCATGAACAAGGCATGGTTGCCAGGTATGTGGTCCGGGGCAGGAGAGGCTTCCAGGCATCATTTACCCTCATTGTGCACAGGCACATGAAAGTGCATGTTTACACCAGCCTGACCTGATGTTTTCTGATGGCATTTGACTTCTTAACAAAATCTATCCCAGGCAGGCAAGGTGTAAGAGAAGCAAAAAAATAGAATAAAGCTCTTTGTAATTTTTCCTTCTTCCTTCCCCTAAAGCCAAACTTTCAGTGGAGTAGATTACTGGGGAATTGTTGAGATCAGTTTATCCGTAAATAAAATCCTTGCACAAGCTTCCATGTGAACATTAGTCTTGTCATTCCCAAGGTTAGACATAAAAGACACATGACTCCAGAGCAGTGTTCTTAGCTTCAAATGGTAATGCTGGTATTTCAATGGAGAGTGCAGTTATGCCTATATGCGGAAAGCTGGGGGGATTTTAGCATCATTCTTTTGGAAAGAAAGACTGAAAAACAAAATCATCCTGCATAGCAACACTGCAAATATGTCCTTGCACGATGAGTTTTTAATAAATAGGAAATAAAACTTGGAAGGATATTCCTTTATGCCATCCAAAATCAGACTCTTTTGTTCACTGAAGGCTGATTGGAATGACTCTGGACATGAAAATGTATGAATTATTACACAGTGGGCACAGTGCAGAGAAGATATTGATGCCTCAGGAAATATGCTCTTATTCCTGACCCGTAACACTGCAGAGCAAAACAGAATAAGACCAGATGCTCTAGCATATTTCTTTCATGGGCAGTGTAGAAACATGTTTAAACTTAATGATACGGACTCGCTTTACTCAGATGCCTTTTGCAGATTCCTTAGAATTGTCCACATATGCCTGCAGTGAATAGAATGAAAACACTACTCTAAGACTGTATCAAGTAATGTGGAAGCCAGTGGAAAGATTCCTGTCAGCTCCAAAGGTCTTCTGAGCAGGTCCTTTGTGAGAATGGTGCTCAGGTCTGTCTTGCTGGTAAGAGGAGTCCATTACAGTCCTTGGAGTGGTGGTTTTTACCACAGGGGCTGATTTCAGCACAGAACCTCAGCTAGCAGAGTCTTCAGGTTCTCATTTAGCAGTCCAGATTTTTCTGCCACAATCATTGCTGACCCTGTGGTTTGAGGATGTGTTTGGAAAGGCAGACCCAAGTAAGGTTGGCAGCAAAATTTTCTGTTCCCTACCCAAGTGATCTCAGCCCACAAATGCCACAGTACCTGGGATTTCTCTGGGTCTCACAGGAGCCTCCTGTGATCCTTTCTCCAAGGCAGTGTTTGGTGTCAGGACCCACATGTTGGGTGGAAGCCCTGCTGTTCAAGGGATGGACTGACAGCACCAAGTACCTTCTTTGTGCTGGGAGTGAAGGGTGCTGGGAATATCGTCAGGGTGGGATCTATTTCCTCTGTTGATGAGCCATCAGGGAGGGAGATGCTAGCTCTGACCTTGGGCTTAAGTACAAAGAAAAGCCTGACAGGGTCCACATCCCTCTACTGGAGTCATTTTCTTTGCATTTGCCGCTCTGTTTTTGCTTTTTTTTCAGGCAGTCCTGAACTGTCCTAACTGTGGGAGTAAACATGCAGCAATCTGTGTTCCTTCAATGTGCTCCAACTTCAGGAGCTGCTCTGCTGAGCTGTAGAAGGAGAGCATTTCCCTGACTGCAAATTATGGCTTAGTTTGAATGACAGCAACAACCTTCTTCCACCAAAACCTTTGTGGTAGGGGGCAGTTGGAGAAGAAAGAATCACGGGTTTCTTAGTAATCTCCCCAATCATAATTTGTTTTTGAGATTTCCATATCCTCAAAAAAAAGATTAAAAAAAATTATTTCCACTCTGAAGAGGCAGGCCCAACTTCATTTCAACATAATTACCTTACATTCAGTTGAACTTCAGCCCTTCTGTATACTAACTCTTCAATCTAATTGTTTGATTAAACTCGTATTTCCTCCAGAAAGGTACATAAATAAGTGAATTGTTGAGCAAATTAAGAATACTTAACAGTATTGCATCTGAAAAGTAGTTATGCTGATTAAATTTTCTGTCCTTGAGGATTTTCAGGAAATTACTTTTGATCGTCAATAACACAATTAAGTAAACTACACGCACATTAGCATGAATAATTGATAAGAAATTATGTATTACCACGAAGCACTGATTTAATAATTCATGATGCGACACTCTAGTGACTGTGCAAAACTGGATAACATCGACAAGTCTGCCTGATGTTGCTGGAAATGCTGCAATTACAAACAAGTCCATAGTTTTGTTGTACAATAAAGAAAAGTATCCAATGCATGCTGTAGTTTCTGTTTGTTTAATACATTAATAAATTTAGAAAGAACACCCTGAAAAGTTCCTGTCCGGTTGTCCTGTTTTCATTCAGATTAATTCCTCTATCCTATTTTCACAGCGATGGCTATCTTGTTCTGCTTAGAGCACAGTGATGTTGCAGAGCGAGGAAGCTCTCAGATTTGCAGCTGGAACCTGGGTGTTTTGCAACCTGCAAAATTCAGGAGTTCAACATTTTGCAGAGCCTCTTGATAGGAGCAAAGCTGCTTTAGTCACCCCAGAAGCCTGAGCTCGAAGTCTTTTGGGTTCTGCGTGGTCTGATATTGCTATTATTTTCATTGTTCAGCATGATTTTGTGGATAGTTGCTTTGTCAGCTTTAAATGAAACTCTTGGATTATGTATGTTTTGAAACTGCACAATGCCATGTTAAATGCTTGGCCCATTCACCTGCTGGTCGTGCAGCCTGCCTAGCAGAGGCAGATACATATATGTATTCTTATTAGTAAACCAGGGGATGCTAAACCACATTTTCCTCCCAAGTTTTGGTTTGAGACAGGGCAGTGCAACCCATGGGAACTTGCTGGAGGTTGCAGGGCAATAGCACATGGTGAGAGAAAACTCAAGGGATATGTCCCTGTTATGCCCTCATCCAGCCACCAGACCCTACTCCTTCCAGACACACTGTGAAGGAGCCACCTGCCCTCTTCCTGTGCTGTCATATATCAGGGCTATCTCTTTTAAACCACTTCTGAAATGGCCATCTCAGTAGCTTTGATTAAGCTTGGCATTTAAAAGTTTATAACTCAGCTATAAAAAGCCACTCAGGCTGAACCCCGGTGTGCAAGGCTCCAGCCCAGGGGGATGATTAACATGCAGCCTGTTCCAACATTAGCCTTTTTTCAGTTCTGTGATAGAAAATGTAAGCCCAAGGTACGAGGGACAGACCGAAGACAAAGACTTTTTTTGCTTGATGATCACTGCATTTGTCACTAGATCCCACGCAGTTATTCTCTGTGTATTTTCAGACTATCATGAGCCAGGCATAGTGTGAATGGCCTCTATGCAAATATCACTTGCATGATTTTGTCAAAACATCTCCAGGCCTGGGCTCTTTTTTTCATGTGGTCACAGACACCTGCAATGCCCAGGCATCCTCTGTGTGGGCCATCTCTGCTTCCTCTGCCTGTGCTGTCCCAACTCTGCAGTTCCCATCTGCCCCGTAGACAGCTCACAGCTTGCTGCCAGGTCCTTACAGCATGTTGTTCTGTGTTTGTTAATGGGCTCAGTGCAACACACCATGGGACCTTCACTATAAGTCTGCGTGGCATCCTCTCAGCCCTCCGTGTATTTTCTGTCTTGCAGATCTGTTTAGGTCTCCTTCTGGCTACCTACAGTATAGCAGGAAACGAGGAGCAGAGAATGCACCTTCACTATTATGCCGTTGGCCAGTGTTTCCCTCACTGCATGCTGGATAGTAATGAGATTGTTAGGCTAATTGGCTCTTTATTAAGAGTATTATTTACAATGATGCTGCAGGCCATGTGCATGCAGAAAAGCGCAATCAGACTCTTCCTTCTTGTCATCAAGAGGGCCAGGGATGGCCTTCTCCCAGTTCCTGTGTCTCCCCCACCCACTTATCCAGGAAGTCTGTACTTGCTTATTAAGGGTAGCATTCATCAGGGTTGCGTGTGCAACTTCTCTCCCTGAGGAGGCTGAAGGGGAGCCTCCATACAGCTCTAAAAACCCCAAGAAGTTTCTGCAGTGGAGTGCTCATGTGGATTTGAAGGCAAGAGAGCCATTGCAGTCAAGCCCTCACGTGGAGCCATGGCAACTTCAGAGGGAAAATCAAAGCCACAGACCATGCTTCTCCAGCACCACTCCTGCCTCCCACACCAGGCAGGGTGGTGTGAGAGGAAGTCATTTGCTGTTGGGCAGACCACAAGGGAGCAGAGGATGGAGATGAAATGCTTGTGGTGTGCTTCTGTGGCACACTCTGCCTCCCAAGGAGCTGCTACTCAATAAGGATCCTGTTGTGTTGGTTGTCTGTGTGGTGGAACCAGCGTGTGAACAGGGGAAGTGAGAAGCCCTGAATGCATACCCGTGCACTCAGCACATAATTCAGCCCTCTCCACTGAAGGAGTCTGACACCCCTGCCATAACTAAAAGAGCAGCTTCCGCAGAGTGGAGTAAATAATGCTTTACTCTTTCCAGTT